GACACTGTCTCGAGCAACCCAAGGTGGGCACCTGTGGCATGCGTCCTGCGTGTGCACCTAGGTGCACACCCTCGTGGCTGAAGGATGCTGTGTGTCCAGAAGGCGGCCATGGAGGAGCTGCTGGGGGCCAGGCCAGGGTGGATGGAGCTTCTTGGGCCTGGAGCCGGCTCAGGGGGCAGGACATCACTGCAGGGGCAGGGGGAGGGGTGGGGAAGGAGAGAGGCAGCTGCCGTGCTGGACCCAGCCCCCAGCAGCCCCCACAGCCCCAGCAGCCCCCACAGCCCACCAGCCCCACCAGCTCCCACCAGCCCCCACCAGCCCCCACCAGCCCCCACCAGCCCCACATATCTCGCCCAGGCCAGAGCTTATCACATCCACTCCACCCCCTTGGAGCAGATTACTCAGCCTTTCCAGAATCAGAATGGCACCCTGGGGACCTCGGGAGGGGAGGACAGGGGCTGCCAGATCTCCAGATCTCCAGATGAGGGGCTGTGTGGAGGCCAGTCAGGCGGCTGGTCTGAAGCCCTCCATCCCCCCGGGCTGCCCAGCACCCTGCCCTGGGGTCTGGACACAACGGAGTGCTCACCTGGAGCAGCATGCTGAGGCCCAGATTGCGGTGCCTCCTCTCCAGCTCTGACACAGCCTGCAGCAGGGACCCAAAGCGCTCGGCCGGGTCAGCGTCCTCATCCTCCGGGGACCCCTCCTCTTTATCCGCCTCCTGCAGAAAACGCTCCTCCTCCTCGGCAAAGAACGCCCTGAGCTTCTTGTAGTCGGTCAGGGCTTTCTTCCTGCGGTCCATCACGTGTCCCTGCAGGGCAGGGAGGCAGACGGCGGGGAGGGACACCTGTGTCCCCAGGATACACCCTGGGGCCTCCCGCCCCCACCGCTGCCCACCTCGGGGAGAAGGGTCTGCTGCTCGGTGCACGGCACTCAGCTGCATCCCTGCCAAATGGGGTCAGGGTCCCCTCCTCGGGCCGACCGCAGGCCTGCCGCCACTTGCCTTCCACACTGCCGCAGCGGACTCGGCCTGGCCGTGCAGATCCCGGGCATCGTTCAGGTCTTTTCTCATGATCTCCACAGACCCCTTGTTCTCCTGGGAAGACACGCTGGTTACTGGTGGGCGTAAGGTCAGAAGCTCCAGGGTCCCCTCGCCCAGTCGGGGGCAGACTCAGGGTGTGACCGTGGCCTGTCAGTTCTGCACAAGCCGACCAAAGGCACCAGAGGGGGTCTCAGCTACCCCAGGAAGCTCTCTCCAGAAGGAACTCTGATAGGAAACACCTGCTAAGACTACAACCAGGCAACTGGACAAAGACCAGGCTCTGGGGTCCCTACTGTTATGTCGCCAAGGGAGCGATGCTGAGTGGCCTCTCAAGGGTGCAATGACCCTAGACCTAGGGTCCCCCAGCAGGAGCAGACTCCAGCTCCCGTCCAGCCACCCCCAGTGCCCATGGGGACCCAGGACCCACCACCTGACAGAATGCTTCCCTCCCCGGTCTTCCCTAGGGCGGTGGGACCACACACATTGTCTCTGCCCTGAAGGAGGTCCTGGCTGTCTTTACTCCCTCTGTGACCCCACCTCCATGGGGGGTCCCCAGGCCCCAGCTACAACCAGCGTCTGCAATAGCGGGTGTCTACCCAGGGTCCACAGCACAGCGAAGGTTTCCATGTCGAGCGGGTGGGGTCGCGGAAAGGGAGTGGGAAGGCGGTCTGGGGGAAGGGAGGGGGACGCACTGGACCTCAGCAGCTGACAGCCAGGCTCATTGCCTGGTCCACCAGGCAGGATCTCGGGGGTTAGAGCCAGCGGGGGTGGGGCTGCTGCCGGGTGACGTCACGCCCAGAGGCAGGGCAATGAGGTGCTGGGGGCGCGGTATGGGGGCGGGGTCGGCAGATGGACACTGTCTTCAGATGGGGGGAGGGGTACAACAGTCCGAAGATGTAATATGGGGATGAGTGTGGGAGGTGGAGGGAAAGGATACGGCCCAGGGATGGGGGCCGGCGATAAGGGAAGAGGGCACTGTCCAGGGGATGGGGAGGTGGGGCACAGGGCACCGTGTGCCAAATGAGAAGGAAAGACAGAGCACAGTCTAGGGATGGGTGAGGGGCAACAAGGCATGATCCGGGGAAGGGGACCGGGTTGGAAAGAGGACAAGGCACCGTCAGAGAGTGGGGGTGGGGGGGAATGGAGGACTGGGCACCATGTCCAGGGGCGGGGGCCGGGGTTGGGGATGGGGGACAGGACACAGGCTGAGGGCGCAGGAGGGAGACAGGGCACCGTCTGGGGGCGGGGGAGGGGGGGGAAGAAGGCACCGTCCGGGGGCGGGGACCCGGGTTGGGGATGGGGACGGGCCGCGCACAGGTCGCCGCCCGCGCGCACCTTGCCGCGCAGCGCCTTCCTCCAGCGCGGCTCCCACTCGGGCGGCTCGGGCCCCGCGGCCATGCGGCAGGCGGCGCACAGCGGGCCCCCGTCGGCGCGGCAGAGCAACTGCAGCGCCGCCTCGGAGGCCGGGCCGTCGCGCGCGGGCGCCGCGGCCGCCTCCTCGAGCGCCAGCAGGCGGCGGCTGAGCGGCGGGCGGCCGGGCTCCACGGCGCGCTGCCAGCAGTCGTCGGCGCACTCGGGGCACGGGAAGGGCCCGTCCTCCTCGGCCCAGAAGCGCACCACGCACGCCCGGCAGAAGCGGTGGCCGCAGTCGGCGCGCACCGGCTCTCGGGGCGCGCGCTGGCACAGGGCGCAGGCGGCCTCGGCGGGGCCCGCGGGGAGCGCCAGGGCGGCGGCGGCAGGGGCCCTCGGGGAGGGCGCGGCCGGAGGGCGGGCGAGGCCGAGGACGCGGCGCAGGGACGGTGACCAGGGCGTGCGGGCGAGGCGGGCGCGAGACGCGGAGGACAGCGGGGATGGCCGGAGAGCCGAGGCCGGGGACAAGGATGGCGACGGGGACGCGCGGGGCGGGGACGGCGGGGCGCCCCACGCAGGGTCCTGGCAGCGGTGCGCTCCACGCAGGGTCCTGGCAGAGGTGTGCTTCACGCTCTTGGATCCTGGCAGCGGCGCTGCCCGCACAAGGTCCTGGCAGGGGTGCGCACGCGCCACCTTTCCCGGGTCCTGGCCGGGAAGCTCGCCTCGAAAGGTCCTGGCAGCGGTGCCCCGCACACTGCCGTCCGCCGGCCGGCCCACAGCCTCGCACCCTGCAATCTTACCAGGATTGTCACTTGCCCCGTAAATGACTCTGTGGACGAGAGGGAAACTGTTTTACTATTATACGAAGACTCCATCTAAAGGTCTTTTGTAAGCTGCTAGGACCTGAGCTGAGGAGCGCCCGCCCCCGCGGGGTTGGGGCGGGGCTGCAAACGGCCCTCGGGGGCCCTCCCCGCGAGCCCGCGCCCGGCACGCACCTCCCTGCCTGAACAGCCCCGCTCGCCCCGCCCCCGACCTGTCCCCCGGGGACAGGCCTCCAGTCCGCCGCCCCGCGCACCTCCGACTGGAGGAACCCGGGGGCGGCGGACTGAAGGTGAACCGTGAGACCCAGAGCCACGGGCCCCAGGGCTTTTCTTCGCAATTCTTGGGGGGCGGGGGCGGGAGGAGCAATCTGTTCTGTTATTTTGAAGACAACCAAGCGCGCAGTTGAAACAAAAAATCACTGAGATTTAGCACTACATACTTTTTAAATTTTAAAAAATTAGCGTGTTACTCGAGACGAATGCAAAATCTTCTGAGTTACATTGCCTCCGGTTTCTTGTGTTTTTAAAATTTTGGCACAGATCTGAGAATGCAGTAAATGGGCAGTGTAACTAGTAAACTAACGTTCTGTGGAGTAATGGTCAGGAAGGGGCGTCAAGCCCAGCATACCTGATCCGTTGGGTAAGTTAACTCGGGAGAGAAAAGTTAAGAGAGCAAGAGAGAGAGGAAGGGAGGAAGGAGGTCAGCAAATTCCAAGATACTCAGTGAGTCGAGCAATAATCAACAATAAAGGTAAGTAGCCCAACTCGCAAAGTTTGAGCCACAAATATACAAAGAGTTCATAAAATTTGGTACAGGAAAATTTACTGGAGAAATAGCACCCCCCCCCCCATAGGATTTGTCAGTTCACAGAAAATAGCAATTGCTGAATAGATTGTTCTATATGGCTAGATGTTTCTGTGATGTGTCCCTCAGAACCGGCCACCGGGACCTGCACACACACGGTCCGGCTAAGTGTTGTTTGTGAGACTGTGTGAATAACCTTGGGAGCCTGGTTATTTAAAATATATCATCTGGCCTCCAGGTCAGAACTGGCCCTTCTGCTCTGGACGCCAAGAGCTGTAAACCTTTTCTCACATTCCCTTCTGCTCCAGGCTGAGCTTGCCCCCCAGGATGGAATCGGGAGGGGAGGCAGTCACACCTAGCCCAGGCTCCTTGAAAATACAGAAATGAGGGAGCAGGAGGCTAGCTGAGGACAGGCAGAACGTGACACCCCACAAATCCCCCCACCATGGGATATATGTGACATTCCTCAAGACACTCCCGGCTGCCTTAAAGGAAAAACAAATAGTAACTTACAGAGATCACAATCCTGCAAGACATGGGGTCTCCCTCTGTTTACAAAAGTCTTTTTTTTTTTTTTAAGATTTTATTTATTCATGAGAGACAGAGAGAGAGAAGTAGAGGGAGAAGCAGGCTCCCAAGGAGCAGGGAGCCCGATGTGGGACTCGATCCCAGGACCCTGGGATCATGACCTGAGCCGAAGGCAGACGCTTAACCGTCTGAGCCACCCAGGCGCCCTGTTTACAAAAGTCTTAGCAATTTACAAGAACAAAGCATTTCTATCAATGGTCTAGCTTCCAGAGGAAATGTAGATACAGTTAAATGTCCTTACAACCTGCAGCCCATCGACAGATCCTTGAAGCAGTGAGTGTAATGTTCCTCCAGGAAGCTCCCCACTATCTCACCGTTAATGCCTTGCTAGACGGAAAAACAACCTTAGCTTGACAATGGCAAGGCCTCCGGGATCCTGTGAGTCTTCTTTAACATACAAAAATCCTTTTGAAACCTCCCCTTCCTTACTTCCCCCAACTGCCAAGTGTATAATCAGCCAATTATAACGCCCCTGGGGCAGCAAGTTCTTTCTGCCCACGGGTCCTGTCCCCGTGCTTTAAGAAAACCACCGTTTTGCACCACAGATATCTCAAGAATTCTTTCTTGGTTGTCAGCTCCGGACCTCACCCCACCGACCCTCACTTACAAAACCCCATCAGAAACATGAAAACATGGAAATGCAGCTCGCTCCTCCTAGGCAAACAGATGTTTGACTTCAGACCCCGTCATTTGCCCTATAAATAGGGTCCTTATGGGGCCGGTCCGTTGCAAGTCTCACCTGATGGGGAGGATGCCCTGTCGAGGCCTCGGTGGGGACTCCAGCCTGGCTGTCTCCAGCGGGCACCCCCAGCTGATGAGGCTCGATGTTGTACGTGCCTGATAGGATGTTACTTTGCCTAATTCGCATTTGTTGCCTGCTATTACACAGATGTGTAGATTCTTTTCTTCTATTAGGTTTCTATAATAACAGAATTTTCTTTCCTTTTTGAAATCAAGACACGGCTGCTTTGAATCTTTTGTTCAGAACATAGATGTGGGGGGGAAAAAACCACACTGACCAGTTACTAAGAAATAGTAGGACTTTTCTTTATTATTAAGTTAACAGACTCCCCAAAACTGGATTTTGCAAATACAGCAAAAATAAGGACCTCCAGATTTTTCATAACCTTTTGGAATTCCTTTTTTCAAAATATGTACTATTAAAATAACCCAACATGGAAATAAAGCCGTTCCTGATTTGGCTTGGTTTGGTTTGGAGAAATGTTTGTCGCATCACTATTTGGGGAAAACACAAAAGCTTCAAAATTTCCACTCATACAGAATAAGCAAGTCGTAGTAGCCATCAGTTTGAAAACGTGTGCGTGAGTTGCACCCCAATGTTCATAGCAGCAATGTCCGCAATAGCCAAACTGTGGAAAGAGTCGAGATGCCCTTCAACAGATGAATGGATAAAGAAGATGTGGTCCATATATACAATGGAATATTACTCAGCCATCAGAAAGGATGAATACCCAACTTTTACATCAACATGGATGGGACTGGAGGAGATGATGCTAAGTGAAATAAGTCAAGCAGAGAGTCAATTATCATATGGTTTCAGTTATTCGTGGAATTTAAGAAGCAAAACAGATGAACATGGGGAAGGGAAGGAAAAATAAGATGAAAATTGAGAGGGAGGGAAACCGTAAGAGACTCTTAGCTGTAGGCAACAAACTGAGGGTGGCTGGAGGGGAGGTGGGGTGGGCGGATGGGGTAACTGGGTGACGGGTATTAAGGAGGGCACTTGATGTAATGACCACTGGGTGTTAGATGCAACTGATGCATCACTAAATTCTACCTCTGAAACGAATAAATGTTTAAAAAGAGAGAAAATGTGTGCATGAGAGATTTCTGGAAATAAGGAATAGCAAAGATTGTTTCAGAGCCCCCAGGTCTGCTCCAGATTCCGGTGTGGGCTTTTCCCCCACATCAAGCCATTCTCTGTGATACCAGCTGCGTATTGTACAATGTAAGTGAATTCTTCCCAAGGATCATGTTAGACCCCACAGGTTAAGGGCTGAGTCCTACAAGACTTTTCCCAAATTCAGATGCCAATTGCCAGTCCAGGTGTCACTGGTACTTCTGACTGATATGGCAGTAGGTCAGAGGTTCCGATCACAACATCCCATCCTCTTTTAGGACCAGCAGAATCCAAATTGTGCTGTATGGCATCCTCACTTCCCAAGACTAAAAGGTATCACCCGGCATTTCTCCGGCTCCCTCTGCACCCTCCAGGTGAGAGACTTAGCGGTTGCTCTTTGAGGACAAGTGTTGGGTGGACGGGGCAAAGAAGCTCCCTCATCTGCCTCCAGAACCATCCAGAAAATGGAAGATTCCCACTTCCAGGTCAGAGGCAGAATCAGCGTGGGCGATGATCTGGATTATTGCTCAGCATTACATTTCATGAACACCCACAAGACAGCGGGACATTTGCTGGGCTGGCTCTGGGTGTCTTGAATTCCCACCACACTGAGCCCAAAGCATTAAATAAGAGCATGCCTCCCCACAAACGGGCAGAATTCTCAATTCATCAGGCTGCGTTCCGAACCACTTCTCTTTCTCTCAAGATCATATTCTAAATGGATTCATAGAAAATGTTTGTTCCCGGGGCGCCTGGGTGGCTCAGTCGTTGGGCGTCTGCCTTCGGCTCGGGTCGTGGTCCCGGGGTCCTGGGATGGAGCCCCGCATCGGGCTCCCTGCTCCGCGAGAGGCCTGCTTCTCCCTCTCCCACTCCCCCTGCTTGTGTTCCCTCTCTCGCTGTGTCTCTCTCTGTCAAATAAATGAAACTCTTAAAAAAAAAAATGTTTATTCCCTCTTGCTGTGTCTCTCTCTGTCAAAGAAATAAATAGAATCTTTAAAAAAAAATGTTTTGGGATTAGATTGGCAGTGATGAAAAAAATCTGAGTATTGTCTATAAGACTGTGACAAACTGGTTTGTTTTTGAAACAACAATAGACCAGTAGGACATAAGTAAAGGTTTCGGTAGGGTAAGAACAGAAAGGGCCCCAAGAGGTGCCACTTTGGCATGAAGAGTATTTTGAGCTGCAGATGCATCAGCAGATGCAGAAAGAGGCCTTCCCTGAGCTCCCCTCATCTGACTAGAGGCAGGCGCTATGAGAGACGAGAAGTGGCCCGCATCCCCTCTCCCACGGAAGTTCCAAGGCCTGAAGAACACAGAAAGTGGGCGCCCCCATGGACCTACACTAATGACTCTTGTAAGCTGCCCCCAAACGTGCACCTTGCCATAGCTCGCCATCCTTGGAAGCCCGAAACCCTCTTTCCCCATGTCCCCTCTTCACAAATGCCTTGTTAAGACGCCTTGTACGCCTGAGTCCTGACAATCCCAGCGTTAGTCATCACGTGGGTTTCTTCCAAGGGATGTGTCCCACGGGTAGGAATCAACTGTTTTTCTCTCATTAACGTGTTCACTTTGTCAGTCTAATTCTGGGGGCCCCAGCCAACGACCCTAACGCTTTTCATCACAGGGAATAGTTATCCCGCGTCCACCCTGCGTGTTTGACCTGTGTTCTATGGCATTTGGGGTCACCCAGGCTGTGCAGGGGGACGGGAGAGACCCTGTCAGCTCTGCGTGCAGGCAACTGACGGAGGACCCCAGGGTGTGTACGGAGAGCTGACTGCGGGGCGCAGGGCTCTTGGTCTACCGGTGGAGAGTTCGACCCCACGTCTGGGGGAGACTTTTCACTTAAAAAAAAAAAAAATCTGACTCGGTGCAAACGTCACATCTGGCCTACAGAAAAGGAATGGCAGGTAGGTAGGTAACTTTCATTGCCATGACACGTGCGTGATGCAGAAGGCAGCCAGCGCGGGGGTGGGCCTGGGGACGCAACGAGCCAGCTGCGTGGGGGAGGATAGGCAGCGAGCCAGTAGGGGGGAGGGGGTGCAGCGAGCCAGCCGGAGGTGGGGGCGCAGCCAGCCATGGGGGGCGAGCAGTGAGCCAGCCGGGGGTGGGGGTGGGGGTGCAGCCAGCCGCGGGGGGGGGGGGTGGCGGCGCAGCCAGCCAGCGGGGGCGGGGCGCGCAGTGAGCCAGCCCGGGGTGGAGGGGGGGACGCAGAGAGCCAGCCGGGGGCGCGGGGCGCAGCCAGCCAGCAGTGAGCCAGCCGGGGCGGGGGGTGGGGGGAGGTGCAGCGAGCCAGCCGGGGGAGGGGGCGCGCAGCGAGCCGGACCTCCCGGCCCCCAGGCCAAGGACCGAAGCAGGGCCAACTTTTCAAACTGTCGGGGAGAACCTCCCCCTAAAGCCCCAGGCCGCGCATGCGCTCTCCCCGTACCCACCGCTCCGAAGAACCCCCGGCCTCATTATCATACATTTACATAGCGGGTTCCCGGGGCACGATGGGAAAGGCCCAAAATGGCGCGCCGGAAGGAGTCCCGGGGGGCCGGGGGGGCCGGGGCGGCGGGGCGGCGGGGCTGGAGCAGCGCGGGAAAGTGGCAGTGCAGAGGCGAAAGCGAGGGCGTGTGGGGCGCCGTCCGTCCCGCGTAGCCCGCCGCACCCGTGTCTCCAGTGCGCTCTCGCTGTAACTGCTACGAAACGCCCGCTTCCGAGCGCAGGAGGGGATGTCCGCCGGCCTGTGGCCGGAGCGGGGTGCGGTCCGCGGGAGTGGGGGTCCGGTGCCCCGGCGTGCGCCCCTCCGCCGCGTCCCGTCCTCGCTGGCCCTCCTCGGACGTCGTCCCGTCGGGCTCGCGGCCGTGTCCCTGCCCGGCCACCTGCAGCTGGCTGCGGCCACAGGGCCCCGACCCCACTGGTCCCCCCTTACCCTTCGTAGTAGACCTGGACTTTGGGAAACTGGAGGTCCTGGGCAGCTTCCGGGAAGGCCCACGGCTTTCGGGGGAGCCCTTCAACCCTCCGTCGCGGTTCTGTGCGCTGTCCGGGGCTGGCATCTGTCGCCTCTGCCGCGTCCCCGCGCGCCCCACGCGGATTTCTCATGCCCGCCCTGTCTCTTTAGGCACCTCCTATGCTTTCTTCCCAAGCCCTGTGCACGGACACCCCATGATTTTCAAATATCCTCCACTCCTCTGATCACTTATATTTGGTTGTACATTTTGCCGGAGGCCTGGGAGAGGGATGGCCGCCTTCGTCCCTTCAGGCCCCGGCGGGGAGATCTTTGATGGGATCATTGGCCTGGTGGGGAGATTGGGAAGGAGAAAGAAATAACAAACACCGGTTTGCCAAACTAGATGCTATCTTAGAACGGGGAAGACCGTTCCCCGCCCTGCGAGGAAACAGGCATCAATGAAGGGGGAGGATGGATGGGGGTCCCTCTTGGGGAGGCTCACCAGGCCAAAGGCGTTCACAAGTCAGGGATGCTCATCTGCACCAGAAACGATAGTTGGAGGTTCCGTAGAGACATGTCTGGGTCCCAGGCTTTCCAGGGTGACTTGGGGCTCAGCAGGGACGCCTCTAGCCCCAAAGGATTTTCAGCTGTGTATCTCTCCTATAGATGGGCAAGAGATCACAATTCCGTCTCCCTATTGGGAGGCTTGAAACAGAGTAGATCTAAACCCATATAAAATATATGGGTTCTAGTTTCCAGTAAAAGGGCCACAGTAAACCAGGGCCACGAGAAAGTGCCCATCCCAGCTTGGACCCTGAATCTGAGGCTGGCCGACTTGGAACGGCCAACCAATTCCTCAACCAATTAGCCCCCGACATCCAAAGGCAAGTTCAGAAGCCCCCCTGCCTGAGCTTTTGAAGGTAGCCTCTTCTGTGGTTTATAACACGGATTTAGAGGAGGAGGAAAGGGCTAGAGAGAGAAGGGAGCAAAGGAAGGGCGAGAGACCAGCGCGGCTGCTGGCTGACCTACAGCCTGGCCGTTCTAGCCTCCATGATGCAGGTCGTCTGGGAAAAAGACCCCCACTGGGAACTGCTCACACTTCAGGAAACCCAGACACTGGCAGAATGAGGGTCTCCCAGGGGAGAAGCCATCTACTCCCTGCCCCCTGGGCAAAGAGACGGGAACCTGGAGGGGGGACTGCCCCTTCTCCATTGCCAGCCCGGGAGCCGTCTCAGCTCCCTCACACGGCTTTGCCATCTCGGGGATGGAGCCCAGGGTGACCATGGAAGGGACAGTAAGACGTAACTGTTACGGGTACAGAGCTGCTCACTCTGCGTTAACTCCCTTCTGGGGCCTCATCCTGCTCTTCTCGCCTGCTTCCCTGTCGTCGTGTCATCACTCTCTCCTGTAACCTGCATGTTGACGAGTATAGAGACTCGGACTCTAAAGGGGCTGCTTTGGACCCTGCTCATCCTTCAGACTCAAGATCCTACTCTCGAATTTCCTCTAAAACTCTTAAAATCCTGTCTTAGACACAAAAAGCACAGCCCGTGCAGGTCGAAAACAGACATTTACCATCTCCCCCTCCTGGAGGCTGCAAGTCGGAGATGCAGGCGTGGGCAGGGCTGGTTCCGTTGGAAGCCTCTCTCCTTGGCATGCACACGCTGTCTTCTCTCCATGTCCTCACACGGTTGTCCCTCAGGGTGTGTCTCTGCCCTGACCTCTGAAAAGGACACCAGTCCTGTTGGATTAGGACCTACCGTAGTGACCTTGTGTTACCTGAATCACCTGTTTCAAGATCCTATTACCAAATGCAGTCACACTCCAAGCTCCAAACATGAGTTTGCGGGGGGGGGGGGGGGATGACAAAATCACCCCATGACACTCCGGCCCTGATGACGGGCAAGAACACCAACACACTTCCTTCCTGGCTCCAGTTTGGGACATTTGGATTCTTGCACACTCCAAGGAGCACATGCTGAGCCATGGGGATGACAGCCATATATATCCCCAGCACACCCAAGGGCCAGGCAGGGTGATGGCTCAGCTGTAGACCGGGAGGCCCAAGGAGCAGGGCATCCATGGGGCGTCATGAGCACAGGGCTCCGATTCTGCCCTCTGTCAGGGCCCCTGTTGAGCCAGGCTCTGGGCTGCATGCCCCAGCCCACCTAGGCCCATCCTCACTGCTGCAGTCCAGCACAGGCTTGACTTCCCAGAGCACAGGGACGTTTACACAGGCGTGGAGAAGAGGAGAGGGAGACCCAGGTGGGCCGAGACCGGGGAACCCACAGAAGCAGCCCCCTGAGGAAGAGAGAAGACGGAGGTCCTGGTGGGAAGAGCAGAGCAAGTGCTAGTAGTCACCGCGCCTCCTAGTTTCTGCAACCTGATGCCCTGACGTCCGGGGCTTTGTGGCCCCAGCACGTCCCGTCCCAGGACTACCCAATCCTACGGATAGGAAACAGATTTACCCAGGAGCATGCCTCTCATCTGCAAACTCAGCAACCCAGAGCCCACGGGCCCCCCGACTGCCGCCTCTCACACGATCTGTCTGCCCTCCTCGTCCCCCAGGCAGGTGCCAGACAGCGGGCATAGCCCCTGCACCCCAGGGCCCACGGAGATACTCAAACTAGCCAGCCTTGAGCCTGCTAGCTCTGCCATATCTCACCTTTCCTGCAGAAACCACAGTAAAGGTCTTGCCCACGTTGCCCCCGGCCCTGCCTTCTGGCAGACTTGGTGGTGCCCTGTGCACCCTCCTCTGGGGAACTGAGTGTGACAGCTGTCCTCATCTGTTGCCTGGGCATACCCCAACAGTAACAATACGACCCCGGTATTTTCACACAGCTAGGAAAGGCTCACTGCAGGAGGCTGTGTAACTAATAGGGAAGAATTCATGGGAATTCTAGGGGTGGAGAGGCAAACCGCAGGTGTGGGGGGAGAGGGAGTGAGAAGCCGGGATGCTGGCAGGTGTGCGGACGGGGAACAAGGGCTCAAACAACCACCGGAGGCACCGCCCAGCTCACCCACGGGCTGCTGTACTCCAGCCCCCATGGAGAGCCACTTCTTGAGCCCATTCCTACGTTGCAGAAATTACAGGGGTTGTTAGCTCTCCGCTAGGGAAAGAATGTATGTGGCGTTCCAGCAGAGGGCTCGTGGAGCAGGCGGGCCACAACCTGGGGCTGCCGACAATGGCAGAGGGAGCCAGGCAGGGGACTGAGGGCGACCTGGTGACCGCCCGTTGCCCAGTCCAGGCCCACGACGGATATACGCGTCCAGAATTCCACACGCGAACCTACCATCCCACCCCACTCCCAATCTCGCTCCCAAATGTGTCTGAAAAGCTCCATCTCTCCCAAGACGACGAAAGAGGAGCCAAGCGCGTCGGGAAAACCGCGCGAGTCACTTAATTGGCACCGCTGGTGGCTCTCAGAAGAGCGAGCCCCGGCCCGGGTGGCCATCTCCGGCCCGCCACCCGCGGGCGTGGCGCGCGCTGTGGGTCCTTGGTCGTGACGGGGACGCACCCGGCGGGGATGGTGCAGAGCCAGTCCCGGCCGGCCGGCGCCGGGGTCCTGTGCGCTGGGAGGGCCGGGCGCGGGTGGAAATGGGGCTGGGGCCACAGCCGCTAGGGGATGCAGGGGTGCAGAGGTGCGGGCTACAGGGGTACCTCGCGCCGGGACGCACAACTGCAGGCGGTGCGGGACGTGCAGACGTGGGGGCCGCGGGGACGCAGAACTGCAGGCGGTGCCCGGAGGCGCAGAGGTGGGGGGCGCGGGGGCGCAGGACTGCAGGCGGGGCCGGGAGGTGCAGAGGCGGGGGCCGCGGGGGCGCAGGACTGCAGGCGGTGCCGGGAGGTGCAGAGGTGGGGGCCGCGGGGGCGCAGGACTGCAGGCGGTGCCTGGAGGTGCAGACGTAGGGGCCGCGGGGACGCATAACTGCAGGCGGTGCCCGGAGGTGCAGAGGTGGGGGGCGCGGGGGCGCAGGACTGCAGGCGGGGCCGGAAGGGGCAGAGGTGGGGGGCGCAGGGTCGCGGGGGGCGCAGAGTTGCAGGCGGTGCCCGGAGGTGCAGAGGTGGGGGGCGCGGGGGCGCCGAACTGCAGGCGGGGCCGGGAGGGGCAGAGGTGGGGGGCGGAGGACCTTCGCCTCAGGGCCCCCCCAACCCGCACAGACCCGGGAGGCCCCGGCGCCGAGCAGGAAGAGCAGTGGACTGTGTGTTTATCCGAACAGCCCATCCCGATTGGTGCAAACTTAATCGCGCCCGATTGGCTGAGGCACCTTCCGGAGCTTTCCAAACCTCCCCTTGATGCCATTGCCTCTGAGCGCCCCCTCAGTTTGGTTTATGAACTTGGAATCGCTTGTATTTTATTCACGTTGGTGCCTTAATGTTTTCACCCCAGTCTTTGGCTGTCCTCGTGATTTCCTGGCAAGCGGGTGACTTAGGCAATTAGGCTGCTCTGACCGGGAAGAGGGGAACCTTGGACTAAGCCGCGCGGCGGGGCGGGGGTGTTCCCAAGGCATGGTCCTGTGGGTGAGGCGGCTGTCTGCCCAGCCCAGCCCCCACCCTACACCCTCCTGGCTTCCCCCACCTCCCCTGCAAGACTCCTCCCCCACCCCTTCCCCCTTCGCACACCCCTCCCACGCATCCCCCACCTCGCCTCTTAGACCCCACCCCTTCCCCATCTCCCTTCCTACCCCTCGCACTCACTCCCCTCCCCTCCCCTCCCCTCCGAGACCCCTCCCACCCATCCCCCAGCTAAACTGCCTCCACTGCTCCAAGTCTCCTCCCCACCTTCCCGCCCGTCCCCCTGTCTCCCTTCTCAAACCCCTCCTGCTCATCTCTCCACAGCTCTCCCTTCCCAGATCCAGACCACCTCTCCCGGAAACTTAAACATATAAAATATAAAGTATGGGAAAATTACCCTCATAAAATCTCAAGTTTCGTGTTTTCAGATATATGTGTGTTCCGTTTTCTCTGTGTCTTCTGTTAAAAGGTAAACTGAGGCCTACTGAAAACGTTTGGAATTTATTTGCGCCCAGATTGATTGGAATTGGGCGTCCTCCAGGCTAGCGGAGAGCAGGGAGCTCCAGGGAGCTGTAGGAGATGAAAGACTTAGAGGCAGAGGGGAACCAAACAAGGACGTTATTCTTGGCAGGACAGCAGGTTACTGCAAGGACATTTTCCTCGGGGGAGGGGGCGGCAGGGGCCTGTCAGGCAGATTTCCTCCCTAGGGCTGATAGGGGGCGATCCTGATGACTGGCTTAAGGTTCGGTCTCGGGGAGAGCCAACACTGTCATTGAGTATCGGCTGGTGGCCTGGGGCTGGGCACACACGTCTCCTTTTGGGACCTGGTGTCTCGTTTTAACCCCCCTCCCCAATCCCCCAGCCTGAGAGACATGATCAGAATTTAAGTCAAGGAAAGATCCCGTTCAAATATTTTCCTATGCCAGGAGATCTCGCACAGCTGAGTCTCAGCTCCCCCAGGACTGGGGATCCAAGTGCAGCGGGTGGTGTGGCCAGAGGGCAGACTCCTTGCTCAGCTAAGAGATCATCAAGGGCTCTCCTATTATCAGGAATGAGTTTGGCCAGAGAGTCAAGGGATTTTGGTTGGGCAGCTCCTGGTTCAGTAGCAGATTCCACAACATTTTCATGAGTTAAGGGGACGTCCCCAGTCATCACCTCCTTTGTGCTTGCTCCTGGCCAGGGGAGTAGGGAGCTGCCAAAGGAAGCCAATTTTGAATCATGATTGCCTCCTGGTCATGCCCATTTGGATCTGTGGCCCAGGACTCCCTCCCTGGTCAGCTCTAGGGAGGAAAGGTGGTTTTATTCTGGTTACCCTTGCCTTGTGTCCCTTTCTTTGTCCAGAGCCTGGATGGAAGGTGCCCTGGGTTTGGGGTTGTTAACCAGAGGCAGGGAGATGGACCCCCAGGTGAGCCTGGCACAGTAGACATGGAGGAGTGAGTCTGTTCCCGAGAAACTGCGCCATTGGAAATCACGGAGGGGGTTTGGATGAGCAGAACTGCAAGACGACCAGCATCCTGGCAAATCCAACAGACTTTGCAGGGTGGATTTTCCCCCTTTGCAGTGGCCACAAATATGTGGCCAGTGGCCTTGTCCAGCATTTACACAGGACCAGATGTCAGGTGGAGCCTTCCTCAGTTTCGACCTGCTGGTTGGGCAATGGTGTCAGCGATCGGGGAATACTTGGTAGGATCCTTTCGGTGAATCTTGCTTTTGCAAGAGCATCAGAGTAAAGCAGTTAAGTGTTTTAATGCCCAGGGGTGCCTGAGTGGCTCAGCCATTAAGAGTCTGCCTTCGGCTCAGGTTGTGATCCCAGGGTCCTGGGATCGAGCCCCGCATCGGGCTCCCTGCTCCACAGGAAGCCTGCTTCTCTCTCTCCCACTCCCCCTGCTTGTGTTTCCTCTCTCACTGTGTCTCTCTGTCAAATAAATAAATAAAATCTTAAAAAAAAAAAGTGTTTTAATGCCCGTGGGTAAAGATGCGGTGAGTGTTTCTTCGATGAGGAAATGTAATTATTTCTGTGGCATGCCACAGTATAAGGTGATAGCTGGACAATGAGCATATTGACAAATGCCTCTGAACTTTGAACAATCCCTGGAATACCTATATTACTCACATATACACACTCATCCAGCCTCAGGTTTGACATCACGTATTTGACTATGTTTCCTATGTAATTTAGCACACCAAAGAAACCTAATTAATCTAACATCTTTCTTCTACAAGGTGAGAGACACATCCTTTGAGATACTCCAGGATCCCGCTGGGAAATGTCAAAGTTGGTGTGAGGTCAAAAGGCTCCATTTAAAATTTGATTTGGGGGAAATGTCAAAAAGTTTGGACATTTGATTACATAGGATCACAGAGTATTATGAAATAATACTTACTCATGTATTTGACCAAAGTGGCAATCAAGGAGGGTAAAGGCAAAGACAGAAGGTTTCAGGGGTGTGGACAAAACCTACGTCTCGCACTACTGAGAAAACGGGATTTCCTTAAGGATTCAGACACCTGATAAAGACAACATAAAGACAACGTGAAGCACGGCAAGTTATTTTGGTAGGACACAAAATCTTTGCTGTCTATGCAGATTACTGAAGGTTTAAAGAACATCATGGCTGTAATTTCTTATTAAGAGCAGACCAAGGACGCCTGGGTGGCTCAGCTGGTTAAGCGTCTGCCTTTGGCTCAGGTCCTGATCTCAGGGTCCTGGGATCAAGCCCTGCGTCAGGCTCTCTGGTCAGCTGGGAGTCTGCTTCTCCCTGTACCCCTCCCCCCTGCTCGTGCTCTCTCTTTTGCTCTCTCAAATAAATAAGGAAAATCTTAAAAAAATTAAACAACAAAAAAAGAGCAAACCAATCATCTAAGAAAACTTTGTCCTTTTGGCAGAGAAAACCAAATTCTAATTTTGTACTGTGTACTTTTGATATTAGAAGGCATTCTTGAAAAACTTCAGTAAGTCCATTCCAGTCTTGACCACGCATAAAATTCCTTTTTCACAAACCTCCTACAACTTCTTTTTCCCATATGTATCCATTCAGATTTCATCCTATTTTTTCTTCTCCCTTCTCATTTCAGAGCAAGCCATCGCTTTACTTTCCTCACTACATACTTTTCATACTATTTTCTTTCTCCCTTTTCATTTCTAAGTGGCTTTATGACATATTTTTTACAGCTTTATTTATTTAAGTAATCTCTACATCAAGGTGGGACTCAAGCTCAAGACCCTGCTATGGAGAGTTGCGCATCCCTCCGACCGAGCCAGCCAGGCACCCCGTTATTAGGTGTGTTGATTAGAACTGTTAGCCCTCAGAATTTTCGGTTTCCAGTGAAAACGGAGGATGTGCGGACTGTCACTCTGGCATGCTTTGGCCTGGGACATTTATAAATACGTTTCCTAGTTTCTAGAAGTATATTCTTCTTCATACCAGCTTTTAAATGTGGCTACAAACGTGTTTACTAAGAGGCCCAGATACCCTTCATTCCTCCGTAAAGAGAAGCCAGAAGTGGATAAATCTTTGTTCAGCAATTCATGATTCCGCGTGTTTCTCCTACTTAGAAAAGATCTGGATATTCAGCGAACGCCCATCACTCAACTTATCTCGGTATGACTGGAAGGTTTCGGGCTGCCAAAAAGATTTTGGAAGCTGTTCCTCAGTGGACATACCATAAAGCACAATAATTGTTGAAAAGCTCATTTATAATCCGTCATGTTATTTGCATCTATTTAATTCACTTGTTCCCAAGACTTACGGTCGGATTAGCCAGGACAATCTGACGAGATATTCAGCAGCTACCCATTATCTAAATTGTGTAAAAGAAATAGCATGAGCTTATTTAGTAAACTTAGCAGAGTAAAAGTATTCTATTTAATATTGTCAACTCTAAAGAAACGCCTTTTTTAGGTAAACCAACAAATTTAAGCTAGCTCGTATTTACCAATGATGATCCTAAATTGCATGAACTAGAAAAATATGTTTCCTGGGCCTCCTGGGTGGCTCAGGCTGTGATCCCGGGGTCCTGGAATCGAGCCCCACATCGGGCTCCGTGCTCAGTGGGAAGCTTGCTTCTCCCTCTCCCTCTCCCCCTGCTTGTGTTCCCTCTCTCACTGTGTCTCTGCCAAATAAATAAATAAAATCTTAAAAAAAAAAAAAGAAAAATATGTTTCTGAGAGTGTGCTAGATCTTCATAAATGCTTGTTTGCCTTTCAACCAATTGAATAGAATGGTTTACAAATTGGCTTTGGCATTACCATCCAGAGGTAGAAAAATATCACACATTTATAACATGCATACATTGACACACAAAAACATACAGGCAGAGGCAAATAGATCCTACAGTCTTCACTCTAAAATTTTAGCCGTGAGACAGGTAGGATAATGTAAACTCACTAGTTTATAAAACAACAGGTGGATCCAAATTATGTTTCTGGCGGATGTGATGTTTATGTGCTCAGATGGCAGATTGCCAAAGCTTTCTACTACTTTGTGCGTGTGGAAGAGATTTTTAGGATTTTTATTTGCCTCGACAAGTAATCTCAGGGGGGTGTGGACTTGATTTTGGGCAAGAGAACTTTTATAACGGTTTGTATTTTTAAAAGCCTCCTTCCTCTCTTCCCTTCAGTCTCAGGGGTCTGTGGGCGGTGTTTTGGTCATGTCCTGGGGTGTTCACAATTCAAAGACACGGTAAGATGGTCATCTCCAAGGGACACAGAAAGAATGCAAGTTTCCTCATAGGAGTTTGGGGTGTATTCGTCCATTATTAGAACTCAGGGTAATTACTGTTTAAATTTTTCCTTCGGCACAGGACAGTTCTGTTTCCAAAGTCCTAATCTTTTACGGTGTCTGCAAGCATTTTAAGATGAATAGCAAACATTTGGGGAACCGTAAATCTAGGTGGACACGGAATTGTTTCTATAGCTGTATTTCTGGTTTTGCAAAGATTTGCCAGATCAGGACAGTCGATGGTGTAACAGCCTGAGTGATATCAAGG